TATGACCTAGTGAACTGTAAAGTGCTTTGAGATGACATGTGTTGTGAACTGGCGCTATAAAACTAAACTGAATTGAAAAAATTGAATTAATAAGACATATACTTTTAATGAAACCTAATTGAATAGAAATTTCACTTCATGCCGCTATCTGAGTATAATTGACTCCCTTGCCCTGTTTTTAATTTAATGCTTTTCTGTGCCCCCATGAAAACACACTGGGCCCCTCCTGGCCCCCTGGTACATTTGGTCCAGAAGAAGGCCGAGTATTTACATGATAAAACCTTGCGTTTTTGCATATATCAAAAACAACAACTCGTTGTATTAAATATATCCCGTTAAAATGAAATATGTAAATATTTTTTTGCATATATGCAGTGGTAGGAAGTGAGGATGGAGGTAGGAGGTTGGGGTTCCGTTACATCATAACCCGTCCCTCACGATTCTTTATTTTCTCCCCGTCTGCTCCCTCACCCCGCCCAATCACACCAGATTAAGTAACATCAAATGTAAGAGGATGCAGCACAAATTTGAGATAAATAAAATGCATGGTGCTTGTTACTTTGTCTTTGTTTGTTTTTTAGAGGACTCCAGAGGTGATTGTGTTGTTTTTCTACCTGATGGTCAGCAGTTCGTGCAGGAGATAAGCAGCTGCAGCCAGCAGAGCGCCTCCGGTCACATACAGAGTCTTCCTCCACCACGAATCCGAGCCCAGCGTCGACATCATCCAGTGATCCTGCAGAGGATGCGCCACGATGTACCCGTGAAACGAGAGCTGCTCATCGAAGCTGCGATTCCGGCCGAGATCAACCACACACGACCCGGTCCAGGCAGAGCTGACGCGCCAGTACATGCTCGGTGTCCCCAGCCGCTTTCCGCCTCGCTTTGGCAGGCCGGGTCTGCATCAGAGGGGGCTTCATGGGTGCCGACCGAGGCGGGGGCAGAACAGCAGCGATAGCCGGGGGGAGCCAAGCATCCCGTCCGAGGTTCACCCTCCTGCTGCCGGGGAGGACATATTCTGAAGTCCGTCCCGAGCTCTCCAGTTTGACCCCTCTCCTCTACATTCTGTCAAGCTCACCGAGTGATTTCCGGTTTTTCTTTTCAAAATAAACGCTTGTGTGCCTATCTAAAAATAAATAAAAAATAAATCTCCTTCTCCAGTGATCATTTATTGCTCTAGACATTTATTCTTGAAACATTAACTTTTATCATAATTAAATAAAAAAAGAAAAAAAACTTTTAAAGTGAAACTTTATATAAAATGGTGGCTGCATGATGCTGTGGGATTCCTTTCTTTAGCTGGAACATATATATTTATATTTATCCTTAGTAATGTCAGTTGAGGAGTACCTACATTTCAGCAATACTGAGGCAAATACAGTGTAAGAAAACACAATACAGCAGCTAAAACAACAAAGAAGAAAATACAGTGATGAGTAAAAACTGAAAATATGGCATGTTAAAACATTAACAGTGACATAGTAAAATATGGTTTAAAATTTCTGTGAAAATGTTTAGTAAAGCTACTGCCACCTGAAGGCTTTCACTCAGTTCTTTAGGCTGGATGCAATCATCCTTTATCTCACTTTAAATAACACTTCTTTTTTAGCATAATGACTCTTAAATTTTAACAAATTTTATCTCAGTCAGGCAGAGGAAATGAACAGTGTTTAAAGCACTGGGCTCATTTGTCGGAAGTCATTAACGGTAGGGCTGCAACTAACAATAATTTTGCAAATCGATAATCTGTCTATTTTTTATTTCTTTTATTAATCTGAAAACAATTGGATAGCCAAAGGTTCATAAAAGAAGATTCTATACAAAATTAAACCAGGTGAAACTAAAATGTTTCTACCGGTACTTGAGGAGTTTTGGGTAGAGCATATTGACAGATTAAACCATTTTTAAAATCTTAAACGCAAAATATGTATCTATTTTTTCCACAATCTTGGTATATTTAATGCTCTAAGTGGGTTGCTCTGTCAGCTAAAGGCATATTTTAGATCAATCAGTTAATCGATTACTAAATTAGTTGACGATTACTTCATTAATCGATTAATCGTAATTAAACCGACTTAATGTTTCAGCCCATTGGTTCTTATAACTCAGTGATATCTGTAACATTTTAGTCAGACCATGTGGGCTTATCTGAAAGGCTGTGTTATTACTTAAAGTCCAGTCCTACCATAAATGCTGTGTTGCTCTTACAGACATAATTTAAGACATAGATTCCCCTTATTTACCTTAGCACACTTTACTGTTTAGTATCTATATAGGCTGTTATATCTATGTAGGGATCTCCCCTTTCTATTCCCCTAACCTTTAGACTTACGTAGTGAAGGTGATTACTTTTATCCAGAAAAAGGGTTTTCTGCTCCAGGTATTCAACTCTTAAGGTTGATTTAACAAAATATTAGAATTTATAGCTTATAGCTTAATACATTATAGGTGTAGGGGAAAGCTGTCTATAACTAGTGGAGAAGAATACACATCTATTAGGCCAATATTTTGTAAATCTGTTTTTTATTGCTGATTTTCATGAATAATAAAGATAAATCCTAGCACAAAAGAGTAATTAAAGCACACAAATTAGGGAAAATAAACAAAATAAGCAAATTTAACACAAGTACTATAACAACCTAATGAGGATATCTATGTAATTTGTGAAAACTATTTTTGCTTTTTTTCCTGCTCTGATTTATTTTTGGCCTCTTTCCATTGTCACCTCTTTCTTCTTTCTCAAGGTGAAGACATATTATGAAATCCTATCCACTATTGAGGGACGTGTTGTCAAACAGAGGACTTACACTGCTGTTAAATATCTTATTTTGAAGGATACATGATTTTCTTTGTAGTACTACTTCCGCTATCTTCTGCAGGCTGAGGGCTTCAGGTTATATCATCAGAACTAAGTGTACAAAACGATATGAAACACGAGACACTGAAAAAGATATTTCATGCTCAATAGATGACATTTAAAATATAAAACCTAACGTAGTATTGTTTGAATTTTGCTCAGTGTTTTAAGTTTTAAACAGTTTTACAACAGTGTGACCTGTCCTCTAGATTGACCACTAGGGGCAGAGAAGCTGCCAAAGTCATTGCACTGGGTTGATACTGATAAACATGACTGCTTGTAACATTTTTACTCTCCAAATGTTATGAAAAAATGTTGAAACTGCTTTACAAAAGGACAGGACTGAAGCACAGTAGATTCATTTTATTTTTTCATGGTTGAAGGTGCATCTCAGCTAATATCTGCCAAAAGTTAAATTCACAAGTTCAGTTGAAGAGGTGAAAATTATGATTCCCAGAGAAATTTCCTTTAAATATTTTTTTCCATCTGTATGTCAGCTGTGGCAAATAAAATTAAATAAACTATGAGACCAATTTACATCTCATAACAGCAGCTCTGTAACTCTGCCCCAGTTATGGGGAAGATTAACTGATTCTCAGTAAGGTAGTAGCTAAACTTGCAATTTTTTTTTTTTTTGTATGAGAAATGCATTTAAATGAAAAGTGTTGCAGAAAAGATGCATACAGTAAGCACAGGGGTAACAGTACCTCAGAGGATTGGAGGATTGTGAAGCACAGAAAGTTTAAAGGTTGGAAGAAGATTCATGTTTATTTTACTTAGTACAAAAGCCTCAGACAAAATGATATTTGTATCATCAGATTTGAAGTTTCTAACCTTTCCAGAGGAAAAAGAAAAACAAAGATTAACACAAGTTATTGAATAACACCTAAATGTGGGCACTTTTAAAGGCCCACCTAAGTACAACTTCCATTAAATCAAATAAAGGACATCTGCAGGTAAACTCAGACACACATCACCAATTTGGCTGCTCGAGGGTGACAGAAAAAAGTAAAAAAAACAACAATAAAAATCAAAGAAAGTAATAGGGGCAAGCTTTTACTCCCAATTGCTTGCCAAATCAATTTCTAAAAAGATCTTGACAGTGAAAACCAAACACAAAAGAAAGATCCACCAAATACATCCCATAAAACCAAAAGGTGCACTTTATTGTTTAGCACAAAGTACAATAAAACAGAACATTTCCATATTGTTCTTTTGGAAAGCATATTGTTCTTTTAGAAAGCAAAAAAAAAAAGGAAAAGTTTTAATCTATCGTATTTACATAAGAGGAGGAAATGGGAATGAAGAGTCAACATTAATCAAAATGTCAATTGTTATTCACAGAACTATTTTGTACTTTAAAGATGAGCTTTCCACTTCCTTTAGATCTGACTGAAGACTTTTCTAGAAGTTTTCAATCCCATCTCCACACTGGGGTATCTCAATATCAATCCACCCAAAAAGCACAGAATCACATCAATCCCTGAGGAATAAAATCCCACCCAGACTGGCTGCACTACACACCTGCACATACAGTACTTGTGATATATTTATTTTCTTTCTCCAACCCAATGGAGCTCTGTGTGGAATAACTCCACAGAATGATTCAAGGCTGTCAGGATCATCACAATGAGTAGGCTTTTACTGAATGATTACATTTGTTCCCCCGTTTCCTTGCTCCTCTGTTCTACCGTATTACATGTCAGAGTAAATCATCTAATGGAGAAGGGTGGCTGTTCACTGGAGTTGTTTCATTTGCTGCGTGTTGAGTCCATGAATCCATAATAATCAGAGCAAAGGTAGCTGAGTGACCTCAAGAGGTCATTGGGGTATCCATATATGAAGGACATTCTGACCAGGTTATCTCTGTGATACTGCAAAGATTGTTCTGTGTGCCTGAAAACACCCCCCCAAAAAGTTTATCAATCAGGACTCTGATGGAGATGCAGCCAAAGTGCTAAGACTGGCTGTAGGAGTTGCTTTGGTTGCCATTAGAGCTCTGATCACTTTCACTGCAGAAAGGAAATGGCAAGAAGAAGCTTATGAATACATCATAGATATTATTCATTTATCTCAACATCCACAACTAATCCAGACATACCTGTTTGGAGGTGGTTTGGGTTTGGGCATCTTGTTTAGAACAGCAGGGATCTCCTTCCTGTCATCAAAATTTTTCCACTGGTCATAGAGCTTCAGAATGACACGGATGATCTCCAGGATCTAAAATGAGAATAAATGTGCTTTTTTTTAATAAAAGAAAAAATAGTAATCCTGTATATTCCTAAATGAAGACCAGTTAATATCTCAATCCTCCTAAGTCTCATATACTGTGTTTATTTTGTAAAATTAAACATATAAGAGCTATTTGAAAAGAACCATTGATTCCAACAGTTGCTGTAAATAGGAGACTGACAAAGACACATTTTTACACATAAAAATCTGATTAGTGTGGCATGCATTTGTATTTAGTCCATCCGTGTTTATTCTTTTTAGAAACAACTTCCAGGTCATTTCCATCCAACCACTCTTTTGGGATCATTTTTTACCAGCTAGAAAAAGAAATTCAGAACCTAACCATTTACTGACTGATTTTATTTTTACATTTCTCTCAATCAGACCTGAGGCAGATCTTCTGCAAACAAATACACCGAATAATGCTGACATCAACTCAAGTAAGCTGCTAGTATTTGAAAAATTTAAGTGTAACAGTTAAATGGATATCAAACACTAAAGATGTAATTTTTCTTTTACTTAAAAACTGCACGCTTTTATGTTGGTCAATAATTAGATGACTTAAAATCTTCCAACTATAATAATCTTACTTTGTCCATGTCCACGCTGAGCTCAGAAAACCACTGCCTGGCATCTTTTTGTTGCACAACACATGCAACATGAAGGCAGGCTGCAGGAGAAGAACAAACGGATTAGGTCAGATCTGATATAGCCCATTTCAGGTCTGTAACCAGATTATAAACCAGACTGAGAAAAGGCAAGAGGGAACAACTGTTACCCAGGGCAATCATGAAGGGAGGGTAGAGCAGGCAGAGATCTGTCCTGTAGGTGTCATTCACTATTCGCCTGAGAAAACATGACAGAAAAGACACAGGGTGAGGACATCCAAAACAAATTAGTTTAATAGGTGCAAGGCAAACGGAGCAAAGAATCATACCAGGCCAGAGGCAGCAGCATGTCCTCCTGTCCCATATCCTGCACGTACTGCAGCAGTGGTCTATAGGGATGGTACACGATCAGGCAGCAGTCCTAAAAACACAGCAAACAATGAGTAAGATGACATCCAAAAGTCTTTGCAACTCTCAGCCTTTATCCCTGCATGATGGCAGCATCATGCAGCGGGATCCTTTTCAGCAGAGGCAAGGAAGCTGGGTAGAGTTGTCAGGATGGTGAATGCTCAATACAGAGCAACTGTAGTCAGCCAAAAGGACTAGAAACTGGCTGCAGGTTAAACTAAGTTTAACTTTTGGGGGGTTAAGATTTTCCTTCCAAGAAAATAAAAATTAACGTGTTCCTTTTTCCTTTTAATTTTCCAATCATGTCATACTTTGTTGGCTTATCTAACTAAAAAATAAAACTCCTCACAAACCGAGGTTATAACAGGAAAAAAGGTTAAAAAAAAAAAGAGTAGGTATACTTCCACAAGGCATTGAACCAAGTATAGTAGAATAACTATTTACTTACCATCAACTCCAAAAGGTAGAACTCACACTCTAATATCTGGAAAGAAAGACATAAACTAGATTTGAATGGTTAAAAGAAAACATTATGTAAAGCTGTATCAACTCAGAGGCCAGAATATCCAGTCATTCAAGTAAGATATTTAAAATGGATTATTTCAAGAACTCAAAATAACAAATCAGAAAGCCAGAAAACATTGACGCATCAGAGCTCTGCATTCAAGATGGATTCTAATCGCATGAACAGCAGTTTACTGTTATTTCATTTTTGTTAGCTATTCTTTATTTTTATGAAATATCTAGTCGTACGTGTAAAAAATTTTAGTGTCTATAAGACAAGATGTTTCAACTCTGTTTATTTTTTTGCAAAATCTTAAATAGTTTAATCGTTGGAACCAGTGATTTAGGAGAAAATCTCACATTCACCATTTTCTCCTATTTCTGATCTTTGAATTTTACAAGTGCTCAATATTTGACATTCTTGGAGTCTTGCCCAATCAGGCAGCTGTTTTCAAAACCTAATTTCTCCCAAAATGATCAAATTAGTTTTATTTAGAAGCAATTGTCCTTTTATTATGCTAAATCATTTAATATAATACAACTCTGCAATTAGAAATAACATTTTTATTTGCTGATAACAGAACTATCAATTACTACACCTGCTGCTGGCATATTGCTATCCAGGAGACACTGGTTTAATTTGTTATTTCGTTAAAAGAAAGAACAGTCAATGAGCTCTATGAGAGACCAAGCTACTAATGAAATGACATCTGGAAGAGAAAATTGAAAGTTCAGCAAAAACCAACTGTGAGATTTGCATTTATTTGACCCCATGGCAGCTCCTTAGCTTTCTGTTACACGAAATGTCTGGGAGTCTGTCTGAATTAATCATATATACGTTTTATATGTGGTGAGAGAGATGAAAATGTGTCTGTACATTAAAAGGAGATTTAGCAGAATGTTGTG